CGTGTGTGTATTTTCATGCAAATAATTCATATCTCGTAGCCGCAATGTGTGTGTGTGTGTGTGTGTGTATGCGCGCATTTAATACGTGCGTTAGAAAAGTAATACGAGTCGTTGGTCCTTCTTTTTTTTGTACCCGCGATACATACCGAACTTTCGACAACTTGTTGATATTACGGCTAACACGTGTTTAATTAATTCTTCAACGGATATTAATAATTTCGTTCTTTTTTTTTTTTAATCTTGAGAAATGTCTTTGACACAGAAAATCTGCGTGTGTGGGACCAGAGGAGAGAGACAGAGAGAGAAATAAGGAGGGAGAGAGAAACCGGCAATTTTTCTGCCTGCGAGACCTCCTGCTGTTTTTACCTCGCGTCAGGCTTTTTTGGTGAAGAAATCAGCAAGTTCGTAACACCTTGATATACGACCGATTCTCGCATCAGAGCTCGTATATATAATACGCGTTTATATACATACCGTATCACCCATTGCCATTCGACATGCCCTGCGCTGGAATTTTATTTACGTTTATTATTTTTTTCATAACAAATAAAATAACACATAATATCCACTCGTCGTCGTCGTGGTCGTCGTCAAATAATCCACATATAATGTTAACAATTTTCCCGAGAGTAAGCTCTCGCGGGCGTAATTCATAGGGAGATTAAATTTCAAATCGATATAACTCAGGATTTTTCAGAGAAGCGAGGCAAAAAAAAAGAAGAAGAGAAGAGAATCGACGTAAAAAAGGCCTGGACACGGCTCTGCGAGCACGCGAATAAAAACATCAATAAAACGAAGCAATAAACACCTCAATACGAGTGATGATAAAGTATAAATTAATCGGAAAATATGCCTATACTGGATATACGCAGTCATAAATAAGCCTCGGAGTAATTGAATTGTTTGGCTGCTCTCTCTCATGCAAAATTTATAACTTCATCGTAATCTCGGAACGAAAAATACATGTTTGTATGCGGATGTGTACTGTGCTATATGGAATGCTCATATATATATTATGCGAGCGTTTTAATGTTAAATCAATTAACCCGAGAGTAAATGGGCGAGTCGATGAAATTCGGAATTTTAAGCTGGATTTACTCATTCGATGACGCAGTTTTGTTGCCTGCAACAAAATATTTTCGTAACCATCCTCCTTCTTTCGCGACACGGCTGCTTATTCGTGCTGCTGCTTCGAATAAAGCAAAGCTCGTGCTTGCAAGCCCGCACCGAGCGAGATTCATTGGCTTTTATATGTATACGCAACAAAATGATCGGATAAAAAACTCGTGTTCTCGATCGGCGATCGGAGAAAAACAATTCGATCGATGCAAAAAATGCCATTCCGATGGGTATCGACAAGAAAAAGCAACAGCAGCAACAGTAACAGCACCAGCACCGAAGTCGTACAAGCAGCAGCAGCAACAGCAAAAATATCCATTGCACCGAATACGTCTATAATGCGAAATTCTGTAGACGCGACGAAAGAATGTCGCACAAAATTGCCGACTATTCGGGGATCGGCGCCTAACGACCGCCGATCTTGTATCGTAGCGATGCGCCTCCGGAATCGTCGTGATCGCGCGCGCGCTCGTAATAATTTGCAAAAGCAGCAGCAGCAGCAGCAGCGCCCGAAACAATAGCTCGCTCTGCGGCAGCTCCAATCGTCGCCGCCGATGAATTTCGATGTATATAGCGCGCATAGCTCTGTAGGAGCGCGTGAATATCTATGTAGTCTAATTGAGTCATAAATAATGGGCCGCCATCGCCATAAAGCTTCGGCACCGAATGCCGAAATCTAGGCGTAGCGAAGTAGCGTGTGTATATATATGCAGTCACCACACGAAATACACACACAGACACACGGGCGCATCGCGGATCGGAATTAGCTGCGAAAAAACGTTTCCCACGCGAGCTGGCCACTGGACTGGGCCGGCCGTGAAGCAGCGGCAGCAGCACTGGACCGAGAGATGGTGGCGCACGCCAAAAGACAGAAGCGTCGGGGCCGATGACGAGCTTTTATAATTCGACGGTGTGGTCTCCTTTAGGCGCTGTTCCCACGAGGATGGACAGCAGCAGCAGCAGCAGTAACTACGAGCCCTTTGACATTCCAGCCATTCTGGCGTACACGGGCACTTTTCTCCATATCATACACGGAGCTCGCTCATATACCATATACGAGCACTCGAGTCTCGCGCGAGCATCTCGGCTCTCTTCGATCGCGGCAAAAACTATAAATTAGTTGATTTACGCGCTCGTCTTGCGCTCTCGCGAACACGCACTTCTTCTCTCTCTCTCTCTCTCTCTCTCTCTCTCTGTATATAAAAGCTGCTATATATGTTGCATCAGCGTCCGCAGCCGCTGAGACTTTTTGCAGCCCGGCCAAGACGAGGCAGTGTCATGGGTGCAGAATGGCAGAGGCCTGTTTTTTTTTCTCTTTCCCCCGATCGGAGGGAATGCGATGTAGCTGCAGAAGCGGCGACGCAAGTTTTGAGGTATGAAGCAAAACTTTTTTCCCGAATATCTGCTGCAGCAGCAGCAACAAACGAAAAAGCTGCGCTTCGATGCTCTGTTTATACCCTTTTTTTCGTGCCTATGTATACCTATATGATCGCTCATGTGGATTTTTTGCCGCGCCGGTATTTCGGACGAAATTTATGGGGTTATCCTTTTTCGTCGCTCTCGTCGCGCTCCTGATTTTTAACGATACGCGCGCGCGGGCGCGTATTTTTATATACATGATCAGCTTTTCGTCGCATTCTTTATGCGCCAGCGATAAAAAGTCTCGCGCTCCCGCGATCCGCCCGATTGATTCACAAATTTTGCGATCTTTTTGTTTTCTCGTAAAAAAAAAGTGCGCGCGCCCAATAATATACGAAATTCCCTCGCGGCCCCGAGATTCAATTTGACGCCCATGCAAAAAAAGTCGTTGCATAATGCGCCGCGCCATCGCGTCCGTTGCAGGATAATGTGTGTGCGTGTGTATTCCTGCGCGCACCGTGTATAGCTGCACACGCTCGAGCGAGCGTGAAACTTTTCAACGAGCATGCGAGAGATTCTAAACAATAATAGCACGAGAATGAGACAGATGGACGCGAATAAGCGACCGAGAGCGAGCGAGAGAAAGAGAAAGAGCAGAGAAAAAGAAGGAAAATAAACGCGTCGCACTTCAATCTGATGTCTAAGGGGAGTGTGTATAATATATATAAGAGAAAAAGTGAGCGAAAGGAGCGAGCGAGCGCGAATCGTCGTCGTCGTCGTCGCGTTGACGATAAAAATCAGTGGCGTCGATGCAACACGACGCACTCGGCATGTCTAATGATGATTTTGTGCCGGGGCGCCCTTTTTTTTCTGAACAACGAGGGTTGTTTCTTCGAAATGCAGATTGTCAACTACCGACAAGCGGCTGCTGCCGTTGCTGGCGCGTTTGCGTTAAAGCGCGTGGCCGGTGTTACAATGCACAAAGACGTGTAAAACATCGTGCGATACGTGCGAGAAGAACCTAGGCTGCAGCTCGAATCGAGTATATAGTGTACGCACGCGAGAAGAAAAAACAAAAAGAGCTGCGCGCGCTCGAGCTGGCCCGGCGCTTGCACACCCGCGCGCACGTATTATATATATAAAGCGCAGCGACACAAGCGAGCGAGCCAAGTGTTGAATTCGCGCAACGAGGTAAAATAATATCTGCTACGAGACAGCAGTGGGCTGCTGCGAGCCACGAAGGCGATCGCAGTCAGTAGACAATCGAAAGACGAAATCTCGCCCAAAACGTCGTCTCGCTGTCGCTTGGCTTTCTCTCTCGTCTTCGTCTATATACACACACTCGCACGCAACGTATATAGCGCGCGGCATGCGAGTCTTTTGATCCTGCGCCGGCTCCTGCAGTAGTGCTGCGCTGCCGATGCTCCTTCTTCTTCTCTCGTCTTCTTCTTTGCTTCTCGTTCTTTTTTTTTTCGCATTTTTTTTCTTCGTTCGGGCTCTTTATTCTGGCCACCCCCATTCGCTTTTACTATTATGACGCGCGCGCATATATATATACACCGCGTGAAAGCATTTTTCGTAGCGCGTTGCGTTGCTGCACACGGACACGCACGCCCGTATATAGTAGTGGTATCATCGCTGGGCGCGTTCGCGCGCGAGCAAAACAACGCACCGACGCGGAATATTATATTTTTAGAAGAGGCGCGCGAGCGCGTGTAAGTACCTTGTCTAATTCGAAGCTGAAAGTTTCTCTCTCTCTCTCTCACTGTCGAGACGCGAGGCGAAATTGCGATTTTCTCGTCCTTTTTTTTTCTCTCCCCCGAGCTCGCACTGTATACGATCATCCTTGCAGCCGAGTCATCTATTATAGAGCGAAGAACGTCGTCAAGAACTAATTAGTGCTATACGCGAGTTCTACACGATCATCGTCGTGCAGCGGCGAGAGCGCAAATTCAAACTCTTAAAGTAAGCTTGAAAGCACCGATTGGATAAGGACGTAGGTGGTCCACGTGCAAGGGGGTGTTGAAACCATTAGCCTTTTCTTTCTCTCTCTTGCTCGCTCGCTCCGTGTGTCTCTTTCTCCTAGCTCTGTCTCCCTCGAGAGCTGGAGACCACAGCACACACACACACACACACGGAAAAAATGCATATATGAGCGCTAAGGTAAATTCCATCGCTGCGTTACGTTATCATTTGAGAGCTCGAGAGCAGGCAAATTCTTCGATTTCTGCAGCTTGTGAAGCGCTAATGACTCTCCCGGAGCTCGTGCGTGTGCGCGCGCGGAAAGAAATGTTAATCGATTTGTTAGGATTTCTAGATTTTTTTTTTGCTCCACCTCCTCCTCCACCGCTGGCTGCTTGCTCCTCTCTCCTGCGAGTCTCTGCATAACGACAATTATTTCGAAGATAATTGGGTAGAGTCGTGAGAAAAAGTTGCTTTATTCACGCACCATATACGTGTGTGCAGGGATTCTCTGGTATTAATAATAGTACAACTACACGTGTTTCATGTTTGTATTCAAAAGAAATTTTCTTTTTATTTTTTTCTTTTATTCATTAAATATTTATAGTTGTTATGTTTGTTGCTGCGTTATAAAAACTCATATGTATAAAAAAAAATGATAAAAACTTTACTTATACGATCATTAAGCGCAATTTTCATTTTTACAATATGCATCGAAAACTCACAAAAATATTTTTCGCTCGTATTTCTTGCCTGCGTTTCTCGCAAGATTCTCGCAAAGAATCTTTACAATTGGAAACGATGGATAACAATAAAATTTCTATATTCTCTTACAGTTCTAAAAAAATGTTTTAAAGCCTGAAAATTGACTCAATTTTATTATAAAAATTATTTTTTTTCGTTAATTTCTGCAATGATAGTAAAATAATAACGGAAATGTCGGAAGCAGCGTGCAAAAATGCAATAGTCGTATACAACCTCGAAGTTCGTTACTCATTCAATTTACAAAAATTCCTGAATAAATCTTGGCCCAATAGAGAACCAGTTTAAACCTTGTTTTTTTGACTAAACTGGACTAATTGGCTAAAAAATGAAATCGAATTCATTCGTTTCTATTAGGGGTTAAGATCGTACACATATATATAAAAGAAGCGACTGGTCTGGATTTGGCAACCTTAAAAAGTAAAACAAAAAAAAAACACATATACTTAGCGAGAAAGTAATATATAATATGTACAGGACGATCGTTAAACTCGTTTATAATTGAATTTCTTTCCGTTTTAATCCGAGTTTTCACGCATTTCAATTACTACACAATAAATACGGCTGCACGCTGGGCGCAAATTATATATTCAATATTAAATATACGAATTAATTTATTTACAATAGAAAAATAATACCTACTTACAAGATTTTTGATCAACAGTTTCCGACGCGAGACGTGGCTGTCGATTTGAAAAATGTGGTGAAAAATCGCGCACAGCAATGTATATCATCATGACGCTTAGAGGATTACAATAATTATATTTTATATATTTACATCGAGGGAACTAAGCTCTGGGAACATGCATCTCGACTCGGACGATCGAGATCAATATGCGAGGCACTATTTTTTTACTTTTATATCTTATGCGACTTTTCTTTTCAAATCGACGCTCGTCTTTTCTTTCTTTTCTTTTCGAATCGGCACTTTTTTGCTGGAAAAAAGTGACGATCGCAAGTTTATGTAGTATCAGTAAGTCACACGTTGGCGCGCGTCAACGTAACGAGCGTTTATATATTTACACCTAGTTTTAAAGGACGAGATTTTCGAACGGCGAATATCCGAGCGGTATCCGTCGAGTAGAAAAGATCCTCGCGAGACGCTCAGCTATATATTTACACGAGTTAAAGAGAGTCAGGGGATAGGTAGAGAGAGAAAAATTTTTTTAATTCAGTCTTTCACAGTACATAGTCGTCGTAGATAAAAATCCTTATTCACTATTTTTTCGCAACTATAATCGATGCGTGCACTTTTCTTTCTGCTTCGAAATATCGTCATTTCAGCCAGCTTATTTTTTGTTTTAAGTAAGAAAAAGGCGCGTCTAATACTGGGCACTTTTTTTATCCGAGACACAGGCACACTTCGAGCGTTGCTCTCTAATAATTATATCGTATCGAGAAAAAAAAAACGAAAAAAAAAAATATTACACAAAAATTATACATTCGCGCGAGCCGCTCGGCCAAGCTCTTCGCCAGGAAGAAGCGAGCACTCGATCCATCATGCGCGCACACCTCTGCGCACACGAAACGCCTTAGAGTCTAAAACTTTTGCTACTACATACTTATCGACACACACACGCGAGTCAATAGAAAAAGTATCTAAAGTCGATTTTTTGGTGAGGAGGTTTTCGTCGAAGTTGCGCAGCTGCTATCCATCTCTCACAGACACGTGTGTATGGTCTTGCGCGACTTGCAGAGCTGGCACTTGACCTCGCAGCACCAGTGGAAGGTGCAGTTGCACCTCTCCACGACGATGATCTCCTGGGTCTTGTAGCCGCGGCCGCAGCACATGAGATCGCAGCCGTCCACGCCGATGCTCGTGTCGTTGCACTGCCTGCCGTGAGTGCCGAGGATGCCCAGCTTGGGGTTCTTCTCGCAGAAGGGCGGCGACGGCTCCAGATAGACGAGGTCCTTGACGCCCGGCGGCTTGTGCTCCGGATTGTAGGGCTTGAGCTGGAAGTTGTAGCGGTGCCGCCGGCTGAGGCCCTCGCGCTGCGCGTGCACCGAGTTGCTGGCCGAGTTGCTGGTGATGGCGTTGCTGACGCCCCGGGCCCGGTCGCTGTTGCTCACCATGACCCGCGAGGCGCCGTCGAAGCGGTCCTTGAGATTGTCGCCGATGCTGCGAAACGAGGGCAGCCTCATCCAGCAGGTCTTGACGGTGCACGAGCCCGACATGCCGTGGCACTTGCACTCCTGGCGCATCTCCGCCGAGACGTGCTGCGAACAAACAAGAACGAGACACACGCGTGGTTCATCATCCATTTCTTAATTTGAATATCATTGAGATCGGAGGGGGCCATTAATTATGATTTCGAGCTTGCGCGCGCGCGCGCAGTGAAAGCCGCACAAGGTGTATGGTACAGCTGTACAGGCGTATAGGCACGCTCCGACGCGCTTACACGAACGCGAGCAACTCTACTACCGTGATTCGAAGCGCGGCTCGATTAATTAATGATTTAATTATGCTTTTTATTAGCCCGTAATGGTGGTCGGCGATGACGCCTTCGACGACGCGATAATATCACCGCGCGCGCGCCAATGATTAATCGAATCGATGACAGCTGCACCGAGCGTACACAGATATTTCACCTATTACACACAAGTACGTTATAATGGATATATTATGAATTCTTACCGTTCGGCCGGCCTCGTTGTTGTGTAGATTCATCTTCTCGCGCAGATTGCGGCCCCGCTCGCCCGTGTCGACGAACTCGCGCGAGAAGCGAAAGCCGTAGCCGATGTTGTCGGAGCAGCCGCCCCATTCCCAGTCGCGCACCCCGGTGGGCCCGCGCGACTGGTGCGAGTAGTCGCACGAGCACGACTGTATGCTGCCCTCGCTGCAGGCACGGGCTATGCTGTGGGTCACCGCCGCGCTCGTGATCGCGTAGATGAACGCCGTTTCTCGGCAGCCTGAAAACATTAACCATAACAAAACCATTGTAATAAGTTTTTTTTTCTTTATTTTATTAATCCTCGTACGCACATTTATGTACGGGGTAAGAAAGCTCGAGTATTATGGTGCAGGAAGAAACATCGTCGTCGTGCGTGTCCTGCAGCCGCGAGAGAGAGCGAGCGAAAGAATGTATAAATATGACGAGGGACATTTGTATGCGCGGGAGCACGAGGCCCGCAGATAAAGAGGTGACTTCTTCGCGTCGCATCTCTCGAGTCATGACGAGTGCGTGTCTTTTGGGCCGACGAGATGAAATGCCCGAACGTAGGCAGCATCAAGCGCAAGGAATATGACAAGTGTGCGACATCCGCGGCCCTACGTGAGTCCACGTCTCGGAGATCAACGTGTGTCGCTCGCTCTCTGACTCGTGTAACATTGAATGATATATATAAACGGAACAAGAAGAAGTGAACGAAGACGAGCGAAGAGGCAAAAAAAAAAAAAAAAACAAAAATTAGATCGACGCGGCCAAGATTGAGCGATATATTTAAGGAGAAAAGGACATTTTTCATGCGGAAAAACACGCGTACATGATTGAATGGGAAGCGGCCGGCCCCGAGACCTTCCTGACGCGCTGATTCAGCTACTTATATTTGCGAGACCAACGCTCGTATAATGTAGCTTCGCTAAAATAAGAAAGAAACGATTCCAACAGGAAGATGAAGTCTTCCTAGACTCGAGCACATATACGGATCACGGAGGCAGAACAGAAAGTCTAAATGGCAGGCAGTGGTAGTAATGGTGTTGGTGTTGTTGTGTGTATACAAGCACAGGCACACAGTCTATAAGAAAGGAGCTGTGTGTCTGTGTGTGTGTGGGGGGGGGGCTTGCGCGCGCGCCTCGACAAAGGTGCCGGTAGACACCTGCACGCGCTTTTATGCAGATAAGGCTCGGCAGCGGCGGCAGCCACCGCTCGTCCGCGCTGATTCTTCTTTCTCTCGTCCTCTCTTCCTTTCCTCTCTGCTCTGCGTTGCGTCGTTTTCTTCGTTTGGGTCATCTCTCGCGCGCAACAACAGCGAATACACACACAGACACACACACGGGTTGAGGTCAAGCCCTCGCTCATTTTCTCTCTCTTTTTTTCGTTCGCAGCGCAGGTAGATAAAAATAATAAAAAAAAAAGGACGAAGGGCTGCGCCTCGAGAAGATAAAGACGTTTTGACTCTCCTTTCTTTATGTTCTTATATGTGGCTGCAGCAGCAGCACAGGCACACAACGCACGCAGGGCGTTGAAAGCTTCCATCATATATACACTGCTTTGGGGGACCACCGACAAAGTTTCCCTCGGAGCCTGTCACTGATAATTTTTTTTTTCTTCAGGCTCCGATGAAAACTAGAAAATATCTTCTGGTCGATGATTACTTGGGCTGTATAGCAAATTTTTGTCCGCGCGTTCGAGGCAGGACAATGCGCGATGAATAGCGCGCGACAGACACGTATAATATAGAGGGCAAATATAATGGGGCACGAGATCCAGCGCCATGTAGTTGTAGTATTAAATACAAAGTGAAGAAAAAAAAGAAGAAAAAAGGAAGAAATGCTGCAGCGTTGACGAGCTGCGACGAGCTCCAAAAGTGTATACAAACCCAGAGGAAAAAAGCAAAATTAAGAGGTCAGAGCCAATTGGTATATACGTATGTTATATAGGTATATATAGGGATGCATCTGAAAAAAAGACATCACGCGCTCTACACACCGTGGCGTACGGCCGTATCGGATTTCGGAGGCAAATTCGTCACGATCCATGAAAAGAATTTCGGCGGCTAAAAGCAGGCCATTTTTCCCTAATCCCGGACCCAGCGATGATGGTGATGATGATGATGCTCGGCTCGGCTCGCACGCTCTTTACGGCGCATTACAAGCTGCCTCGACAAAGATGATGTGCTCTCGCAGAAAAGGCGACAAAAATAAAAGAATCGAAATAAGATTTATGCAGCTCGATCTCGTTCGCTCGAAAAATAATAACAAACGCGCGTATCCTCTCGTCGACGCCGAAATTTCTTTCCGTTTGGCCGCGTGTGAAATCGATCGGTTCATCTATATCGCGGAATTTCGTACTTATGTAGCGTACGTGTACCACTGCAAAAGACGATCGCGTCCACAAACATTAGAAGAGAAACAATCAATAATCTTTATCGGACAAGTGGAGAAATATCTCGGCTATCTACACCTTTCTCCAAATACCATCGTTACGAGGCCGTTTTATTATTTTGTTTTTTTTTACGACACTTCGAGGCCCATTTTCCCCAATGTGTGATGCACATTTCCGGACTCTGGCTTCGACTAGGACCGGTGTGTAAACACATCAAAGTCGATCATGATGATGATGATGACGGACCCATTAGACGCGTGTGCGTATATGTACGTGTGTTTGCGTCTGTGTATACGTATCTCTGACGCGTGATTTAGGATCGTTTTCGAAAGCCGAAGGTGCGAGAAGAAGAAGAGAGAGAGAGAGAGAGAAAAAATCTGCGGCTGACCGCGCGAGCGCTAGATAAAGGCATATTTTACGGGCATATATGTACGAATGTGTATATATATAAACACAAACTCATGCACGCGCCCGCGCGCGAGGCAGCGGCGGCGGCAGACAGGTGTAACGGCTTTTGTGTTACGAGTACTTCCTTTCTCTCTGCGTCGGCGGCGGCTGCGACTATATTTGCTCTCTCACTCTTCCGAGATATGTTTTTTAATATATGTATCGTGTGTGTATGTGTATATACCTATACGGGCCCGAGCGGCCTCATGTGGGTCATCGTCGTCGTCGTCGTCGTTTCCTTCGAGATCGTGAAAATACCATAACATGTGTATGTGCTCGGTTCTCAGCTAATAGAGGAAAAATATCATCTCGGAGATAAAAAATAAACGAGTAATAATATTAAAAGGTGTTGTATACTGGCCGCTCGCTCGAGATCTTGGAACTCTGGAATCGCTATTAGCATTTCGGAGCGATAGTGGCAATAATTTCTCGGAATCGAGCGCAGCAGCTGATTGATTTAACTAATTTTTTTCGAGATTGAGTTTGAATAAGCGATAAAAGCACTGCTACGAACGTGTGCGTAGGAGCGAGCGATTGTATCCCAAACTCGCCGCTTCGGTTTGGATTCTCGACTACGAGCCCAATCTTGGCTCGTTATACAATTTATACACAAGCAACGTTTAGGTAGCAGCCGTATCCGGAGTCGATGGCTTTTTTGCACCGTCGATTCGATTTTACGTAATAATCGCCCGGGCAAAAGTTTACAAGCCACATTTGCGTAATGAAGCGTGCGTTCACTCGTCGACGTTGATTTATTTTGCAAAATCAGTTACTACGTACGTATTATAAAATCCTTGGGAAAACGCGCGCACAGCGACAACGACAACGGCAACGAAAAAACGAGAGAAGAAACGCAAAAAAAACGTTGAAATAAAAGCGAGTCCGAAGTCCGCAAAAAGGACAAAATGCAACTACAACAACAACAACAACGACAACGAAAAAAAAAAGGTAAGGATCAGGTATATATACATGCGCACACACTTTGCGTCGAGGCTTGTTTTGTTCGCGACTCACGTTTTTGCCCGGACTCGACGAATACACGAGTGCGCGCGGCCGAGCCGAGGCTCCGACACATGTAAGCCATCATAGGTCGCGATTTATGAGATCTCCGCGCACTGCTCACATGGAAGTAAGCATCAGCGCGGGCTGCAGCACACGCTTACACATTCGTATATAATACAAACGCACACAGAAACTGACAAAAAAAACGGCCAGAGATAATAAGACAGTGGAAAAGAAAGAGATAGATAGAGAGAGAGGCAAAGGAGCATCGTTCATATTATACGCGCGCGTGTGTCGCTCGACGATTAGTTTGTCATCGCGCTCGTGTGTGTGTGTGTGTGTGTGTGTGTGTGTGCACGCCACGACGACGACTCGTCCTCGTCGTCGGGTTTAATTTTTTGCGCTAGGCAAATTTTACGATTCATCACGTACGAGACGCGCGTTGGCACGCGAGAAAGTGCGAAATGATTTCTTTCGATCGCGTCGTCGTCGTCATCGTCGCCCGAGAGTTGAGTGTTTGTATATAATACGCACGTGCGCGCTAATAGCTTTGACTGTTCTTCGCGCGCGCGCGCTCCGAGACGCCCAGGCATTTTGACAGATATATAGACGACAAAAAGCAGAGCAGCATCGAGCTCGAGATTGAGCCGTGACAAGATCGATCGCTCGTGTATATACCTGATTTAATTATATATACATGTGTCATATATACGTATATGCCAAGAGAGAGACAAAAAGGTCCGCACGACACTACGCACATATTAATAATAATATACATTATATATTACATTACGAGCCCATTAATCACGCATCTCGAGGATCCGTTTGATCGCGCGGCTATCTGGAAATTGAGAATTTCGCGCCCTGCAGCGTATAAATCTAAGGTGTACTTACACCTATTTATATACAATAAGCTCATGTGCTAGAGCTGCACTCGGCCGAATAACTGATATATCCGATCCGGAAGCGATCGTTAATAACCTCGGACTCCGCTCGGTTTCCAGCAAATTACGCGGAAATTTTCGCCTCGGCTATTCATAGTACGCTTAACCCCAACGCGCTCCGATTTTCATTTTATGTACTAATGATTTTGATTTCTCCGTACGGTCATCGCGTTTCGACAAATTATTCCGGTTAAATAAGTCGCTCTCGTTGTTCTCTTTTCTTGATAAAGAAAAAAAAAAGCTGTTGGTGGTCAGGAACAACGTCCGAGACCAGCTCCCACGCGTCGCGTACCACTGCCAAATTTATAAGAGAGCTCGTGAAAAGTCTTTTTTTCTCTTTCCCAAGTCTTACATCGTGTGACTAAACACCGCGTAATACTCTCGGTGCGTCGTTCGGCCGAATGGGGTGAGATTGAGCATCTCTTCGGTGCCATATGCGCGTTGTAGTCGTTGTCGTCAACGTGGTGCAGTGGCTGACATGCGGGGAATTAAACGGCTTTGCGCGACAACGACGTGAAAAAAAAGTACGGTATACGCAGCACTAGGCGAAAACAATCGCGCAACCACCCTCCGCTATCACTACATCTGTGTGTGTATGTGTGTGTTATAATACGCGTGTGCGATCCGGTGATATTGCGCGTCCCCGGCCGCTGCGATTGTTTTCCTTTTCTATTATGCAAATCTGGGGCACGAAACGATACCTTAATTGCTGGATACATATGTATACATATCATTATCATCTCTTTTTCTCTCTCTTCGGCTCTTTATATATGTGACACATGCGTATATGTGTATATTTAGGAGCACTACTCGCGTGGCTGCGCGCAGCGTATATATAATGAAATCGTTTGGGCATGTATATAGTGAGTAAATAGATAAATATTTAACGCCCTGCCGAGCAGCGCACACAGACGGAATAAAGGATTTACAGCTGGACGCGTGCAAAACGGTCGGTGTCTGCTACCGACAGAGATCGAACAATAGCTCGAGCTTTCTTCCCCGATTAAACTTAAATTATCCACAAGTAATGTACGCGTCGCAACTTACCTCGATCGACGATTTTGCCAAACAGATTCTTGCCGCGCAGAAAATTCTTGGTCGAGCAGTTCCAGCGACGGTTGCGAAACTGGTGCTGGCACTCGGCGATGGCCATGTTGGCACCCCGCGCCACGGCCATCAGGACGCCCGGATTGTCGCGGGCCAGTCGGCGCTGCTTCCGCCTCAGCGTGGCGTAGACCGTCGGGTCCATGTGCAGCGAGGTCGCCGGCATCGGCAGCAGATTGTTCGGCTCTCCAGCTTTGGCTATGCCCCTGTAACACAATATCCACGTTGACCCATTGTTTTTCGGATTGCTATACTACTGTATGTAATGTGAATATAATACGAGCCGGGCACGCGACGGCGGTGGTGGCGGCCGATAACTCAAGAGCTCGACCGTATACACGAATCCGTTTAAATAGAAAAAGGAGTCGAGAGCTTACGAGAGCTATACGGCACTCGAAAAAGCGCAAACAGATGCCACTCGACGATGTTGCGCAGGGGTGTCGATAGAGAGCCTATTCGTGCACTGGACTTTTTTTGGCGTGAGCCCGATCGCGAGCATTTATACCACTGATCTCGCTCGAGTGCGCGTGTGCACGCCAAAAACGTTTGCGATGGCCTCGTAATCCACGCGGGTATACCGGAGAAAGCAGAGCTAATCGAGCTGGCCACGAAGCTGCTCGACCGAGCCCCCGAAACTCGAGATATCGACTTGCGAAAAGAGCCAACCGACGGGGAAAATTTCCCTCCCGTTTGGTCCTTTAATATTTCGTCGCGCATATTCTGTATAAAAAAGGCTCTCTCGGCTGGGCCTTACGGATCGTTTACAGAAATTCCCAAACTCGATTGTCCGGCTAATAGAAATATCCAATTACGCGTATTATATATTTTGCTTGCTATGCTGCTGCTGCTGCTGCTGCTGCTGCTCTGGTCCTCCGACAAAGTAACACGAGAGCGTGAGTAGCACGCGCAAAGGATCTCTCTACTTTTATACACAGGTATAAGGTCTTTATTGAGACGTTTTCGTCGGTACGACTCACGCGCAATGATACTTTTGTATCCTCGAATTAGCTGTGCAGCTCGGATTTTTTTTTTTGTTAATCTCGTTTTCGTAGCAGAAAATTGTCACGACGATTAGTGCCGATTCGCTGCCCATGCTCGAATTCGACGCGAGACGAATTAGACACCTTATCTATATAGCCCTAGGTCACCGATATTCGGCACACGCAAGCGCGCGATTGTTGACACGGCTCCGAAATGTATACACAATAAAGTCCAAGTATTATAAAAGCGTGATCTTTTTGGAAGATCGTAATTTTTCCCGACTCCCGATATTACAATTAAAAGAAGACAAATACGTGATAACGTTACATCGATCGTCAGTCTCGACGTACAAAACGTCTCACGGCTTCTGTATAAAATATACGACGTCGGAGAACCGGGTGCACATGCGCGAGTCTCGCGAGCAACAAGTAGTTATCATCGTACACTCTACAACGGGCACTGATTCCACGATAACGGGCGTGGTTTTAAAAGGGGGATGAAAATCGGCAAGTCTGCACTCACCACCACATGGATCCGCGTCCTCTGTTCTTGTTCGTCCTGACCTCGGCGGGCAGTGTCGGCACCGCGACGGCCAGGGCGCCCAGCATCATCCACAGCCTCATGGTCATCATTTTAGCAAGGTAGCACAGTGAGTCAACAAGAACAACGAGAACATCAACAAACAACAACATCAACAAACAGCACGGCACAGTGTCACACTTTTTTTTGTATAACCGAGAGATGCACTTTTGGTCGGTAGCCCCGCTAATCGTAATTTATCGATTCGATCTTTTTTTCTTTTATTAATTTTGCACACTTGATTATCGTCGCTCACGGTATCGGTAATTATCGGATAGTAGTAGTAGTAGTTATCACGTCGTAATCGGAGGTTCGTGTCTCGGCGACGACAATAACGTCAACAACGACGACGACGACGACGACGACATAATTACGCGCACTGCATGTACAGAGGTAATTCTCTCTCACACTTGGCGGGTGGGCGAGTGTTTTCGGGCAACGGTAATCAGCGGAGATAGAGAGCGGCCCGATTACAACGAGTATCGCCCAGAGGGTAATAATTACAACTTCGGAGGAGCGCGAGGATCGAGGAGCGGCGGCACAATGAGTAGGCGAAGCAATATCATGTCTCACTCGGAAGAGAGCGCGGCGCAACTGTGTAGAGAAGCACCAGCACAGCGATATTCCGATCCATTCGAGAGTCCGGCGTCTCGCTCACTGCGGCGGTCTCTCGCTCAGCCGTGCACTATGCCGTGTGTGTGAGTGTATATACCCTGCCTTGCCTGCCTGGCCTCTCTGCTGCTGCTGCTGGAGCTGTAGCTGCGTTCGTGTGTGTGTATATATTATACGTCGGAGAGAGAACGGCACACGCACAGGCTATACACGCGAGCCGCACACACGTATACGTAGTCACACATATATAGAGCGAGTCGCAGACACAGTCGTATTACACACATATATACGCACCGCTGCCTGTGGCTCACACTCTCACTCTCGCTCGCCGAGGCTCTCTCTCTCTCTCTCTCTCTTTCTCTCGTGCCGCTTACGGGGGTGTTACCCTACGCAGGCATCGTAGTGGGAGTCTAGTCTTTCGGAGCTCTGGCCTCTCTCTCTCTCTCACTCTCTCTCTAATCGGGGCCCGCGCACGGCTCCTCTCGATCGACGATCGATCGATCGGCGCGACTACTCGGACGCGACGATTACGAACGCGATGGTTAACGGATTGTTACCGCGGGGCGCGAGGATACGATCCATTTGGAGCGGCGTACGGAAAAAACTCGCTGCACTTTTATTACTAATATGAATATTGGCGGATCGAGCCGAGCTGTATGGTATTGCAACACACGCGCGTCCGAGATGTGCGCTCGAGCTCGCGACGACTATGTGTGCGCGGGGGCCTGCTCCGACTCGTACTACCCCTTCCTTTCTCGCTCGATTCTCCAGTTTCGAAAGAGAGAGAGAGAGAGAGAGACATGAGACAAAGAGATGAAAAAGAGCAAGAGGGAGAGAGACCCATGCTCGGACGTGCGAGCGATCATCGAATCTCACGCTCCGCCTTTCTTTTCTCTCTCTCTCTCTTTCGATCGAAGCAGCAACAGCACCAACTCGACCTGCGTGCATTACACTACGTACACGCCAGCAATGCCTATCTCGTACAAGTTCGATGTATATATATAGCTGGACCAGCTTTGCAACCGGTCATCATCTTCTTTCCTCGTAATCGGTATATACGTGGACACGCTATGTCGAGCTGGTACTGATCCTGGTATATACCTTCGTGTGTGCAAAACTCGATGCTACACTGCTGCTGCTGCTGTTACTGCTGCATCGCAGGCATTATTATAGATCCGCGCCATTTTCGATACGTTAACTGCGTAATTTTATTCACTCGATACTCGGCTGTATAAAAGCCGAATTCGCTCTCCTCGTCAATTTTAGCCGATTTTAATCCCGATTTTTTCGCACCAATGAATCGATCGATTCGATTAGTTGCTAGTGTAAATTGTATTCAAACAACTTGAACAGGTTTAAATACTCAATGGATGATCAATGGATTGGCTCCTAGTATCATTTCTTACCGCAAAGCTATTAAACCGATTAAGCGAAAATAGATTCAATTGATTATTTGCCAACTTATTTCACAAACTTATTCATCATTTTTCTAAAAAGCTACTTGAATTACCTCATTTTGTAGTAAAAAAAACTATCAAGTGCAAATTTCATAAAGCATTTTTGAACATTTTGATTTTGACCTGACTTTGGTATGCGTCCTTTAATCGCGATACGCTGAAAAACACGAAGTGTAAAAATTACAACTTCCTGCGCGCTTATACCTACAATATACGCCAAATCATCGTTTAAATTAAAATCGGCCTCGTTTCGAGGAACAAGCGAGCTTTATGATATTCGCGCATCCTCGAAATCATTTATCCCGCAACCGATTACCGCGCGCACGCTGTATAACATCCCCTGCCGCACGATGTTTCCCTTTTTTTCTCTCGTCTATTAAACACATCGACGCGTTTAAAAACGCAGCAGGGCACGCGAGGCGCGAAACAAAAGAAACCACCAACGACGTATATAGATCGCTCTCTGCTGTTCGGGTTCGCACTCGAGTGTGAGTTATTTTATAATGGTGTTGTTCTGGCGCCGGATATAGCACCATATACGTAGCCAGCAATGGTCGCCCCGCGCATCATATAGGATATATACGAAATCGACCACTCGAGAGTAGATTATTATCGAAGGCGCCGCTCGACTTTATGTGCTATTCGACCGCGTTGTCTGCGTAGGTGCGAAGACTCATAATCGAAATCACGCGTTCGGCGTGTGTATAACCACCCATCGATCATTCTCGTCTCTCGCCCGAGCTGCTTCCTTTTTTTTTCTTCCCAAAATTAAATCCTAGAGAGGCGCAGAGATACGCTGCGATCGTCGATCGTCGATCGTCCGCGTGCGGCGGCACGTGCTCGGCTCGGCTCGAGAAATACCGCAGCTGCTTATACGCGCCTATATCCTTAAGGGGTTATATAGTGGGAGGCGTAGGAGGGGCCATGCACTCCTGTAAGCCACACCTCTCCTCGATGGGCCCCCCACTTTAAACATATATACGCCGCTGATCCGCGCGTAGCATGTGTAGCTCAACACTCTCACATGTATTACAGAGAGAGAGACGGAGAAAGAGAGCGTGCATGCACAAGTCCCCCTTTTATGACGTTTACTCCTCATACTTCGTTGGGTCGTCGTTTTCTTTCGCTGCTGTGCTGCTGCTGCTGCTGCTGCTTTTATTCGAACCTTTTGTCCGCTCCCACTTTTTTTCCTTTACTTCACTCACTTATATACTACTACCACTACTAAAGCTCTCTGACCGATCTTGCTTCGTGCGTGTGCATACCTGCGTGGCAGCAGCAGCAGCAAAAGAGGAAGGAAGAAGGGATTCAGCAGCCAAGTCCGCGGAATGCATGAATCAAGAGTATGTGTGGGAATGTCGCTACGGTATGCCGCGAGTCTTTCTTTTCCCTTCTGCCCTGTTGCTGCTGCTGCTGCTGCTGCAGATCACCTCGCGTCTGCGAAAATCAGACGAGACGATCCCCCTCCTCGCCTCGCACCATCCAGCTTACTCCAACTCTGCTATATACTACTACTACTACTACTACTACTCCTTCGCGCTCGCCTCGAGTACTCGACTCTTTTTTTTTATGATTTTTATTTCATTCTGGCTGAAAGACACACAGAGAGAGAGAAGCTGTGACTGCGTTTTTTACAGACGAGATGTGCTCCGGCACCAAGGGCCCAATAATTTACGGATATATATGAGGAATGCATATAGCTTTTTGCCTATACATATTGGTTCAAGGAGAGAGAGAAAAAATAAAAAAATGACGTACGGTCTGCGGACAAAATGACGATCCGTCGACGCTCAGCGAACCAACTCGGGGGCTGCTGATCAATGACTGTACTAATTTTTCATTGAGACACGCGCAGAAGTATACGTGCTTTTCTTGCGCCGCCTTCGCAATGCTGCACTTCTTATTCATTTTTCCATCAGCCGTCAGCCATGAAATTCCTCGTATCTACAATTTATATCGAGGCTAATTATTTATTAACTTATTCGAATGTATAACAACGACGACGAAAAAAAAGCAACCGAAGAAAAATGACGGTATGGCTGCAGCAGCACAGAGAGCCAGTTAAACAAAATGTCATCAACGAAACAAGCAATTTCGCGCACCGGTTCGGGCAATTATGTTTTTACCCCGCGACGATCTCCGAGTGCTGCTGCTGCTGCTGATATATAATACGCACGCACGACCTCGACTCGTGCGCGCATGAATTTTATGCTCACGCACTCTAGTTCTCTCTCTCTCTCTCTCTCATATATATAAATACGCGAGCCGAACGAAGAAAGTGATCGCTCTTGGCGCGCTCGGAGCGAGCTTTTTTATGACTGCTATAGACCCCGCGCGCGCCGAGTCTCGCGGAGTCGAGAAAAAAAAAGGACGAGAATTATGACTCGCGAGGGATCGAGACAGAAAGAGAAAAGCACATATCGTGTGTGTGCTCGCCTCTCTTTCTCTCTCTTTCTCGTACCTTATGTGTATACGCAACGATCTAAAATTTATCGTTATAAGTTCAACAAAATTCGAGCGGCGAGCTATGCGCGGAATGAGACGCGCCGTTTGTGCAGAGCGTTTCTTATGGCCGCGTCTCGTACTCCTCCTCGTCTCTCGTACACGTACGTCTCTCGACGGCAATTGCAATCTATTTTGGCATTCGCGAAAAGCACTCGAGGCTTTGATTGAGTTATCAAGCCCCAAGAGATAAAATAGCGTGTAATATAGCTTTGAACAATGATAGACTGGGAGTGACTCGAGAGTTTGTACGAACGAGCTTTGGATTGGAATCAATGTGCTCGATGAATATTTTCAAGCTCCATCGGATGTACCGATTAGTTCACGGAATCGTGCATTATTATACGGACCGCTCTCGTACTTAACGGTGTTCGAGCGTCGATTTTACGATTTAAAAATAAACTTTTTGTTTACTGACTTTTTTTTACTCGTCGAGTTAAATATCGGATAGCAGGCAAAAGGTCGGATTTTATGACTCCGTTTACGTAAAAAATCGTACTTTATATTTGTTCACCGTTCACTGAGACTATAGCCTACCGAGATTAAGTATCAAGTCATGATGATATAATCGTTTAATTGCTTTATTATGAAAACACAATCTAGATACACTTCTATTTAAAATTAGTCAGTATATTTTACACAAATTATACAGTCACATTTTTAAGCTTGAACGATTACATTTATTTCTGAAGCATTCACATCGATTCGATTTCTGTGGAGTTTCCAGCCTGCAGAGCTTCGAGCTCTTCCATGTCGTAGGCCATTCTGTAGTGGCAGTTCTTGGGCGGCATCAGAGGCTTGCCCTTGCAGTGCGTATGGAACTTTCGCCAGTACTTGAAGCCCTGCTCCTCGAAGATCTTGCGGGCGCAGTGGATGTCGTCGCTGATGTTGTCGTTGGTGAAGTCGCTGCACTTCCTCTTGCAGCCGACCGGCGGCGGCCTGAAGGCGTTGCAGTAATGATCGCTCCTGATCTGCAGTATGCCGTAGCCGTAGCTCGGGCCCGGGCCGCCCTTGGCCGTCGTCTCGAAGTTGCTCTCGCTCTTCATGATGCAGAGGAAGGTGCTGATGAAGGTGCGCGGCACGCCGTTCAGGGCCAGCGCCCGGGCGGCCTCGCATTCCGACACTCGCCGAGCGCCGACCGAATATTGCGATAGAACTACAGCGAGTAATAATAGCAAGGCTGTGGTGTAGTTTTTGAGCACCGGCATCCTGACGCGGTATATTAAATCGGCCCGCACACTTTCGCACTCACTCGCACTATAGGTGGCAGTCGGTGACAAACCAAATCAATGCCGCAGCGAGGTTTATATTTTCAAAAATTTCGCTGCCAAAATTACCGTAAAACAAAGAAAATTATCGAGATAAGATATTGATGTTTTTGATTGGTTAATAACGCGCAATCCAATTACAAATCTGTCTGGTTTTTGCATGATAAGTAGTTATTAATGAATCATGAAGCAGTTATAGAAAAGTAACGTCACTTTATTATAGTAAATTGATAAACAAGATCGTTAGATAATTGGTACTCTATTTGGAAGTATTTTGAATGACATACTATCTGACGTAAGCGTATATTTTTAAGTTTGATTCGCGAAGAAAGCTTATGTCACTTACGCATGCCATATCTACGTAAATTACATTAAAATGATTGATTTCAAATTAACTTTAATAAACTTGACGAATTTTACAAACAGTAAAACACACCATTACTTATTGCTACTTAATTTTAATGTTTTTTTCGACACGTGGCAAATTTAATACTTGCAGCACAAAAATTAAATATTTATTTATAATTTTTGCTTTATGATTGTACGTTAAATTTAGACTTCTTCCATACTGCAAAATCCTTCTTTGGGAACAAAATCATGAATCAGAAATACTCCATCAAAGTATACAAGATAAATTACTCGAATAAAAACCATTATGACTATCCATTCATTATAACGTCAAGTAAAGTACAATGCGATAAATCATCTTCAGAAAAATTTGTTATAGCTTAAATTTCAAATAAGTGAACATTTTAAAAGTATTTCATCTCATATGAATATAATAATGTTAATACTAAATATTTTTCTGAAAGGGTGCTCTGAAAAATATTGCAAAAACTAAATTTTACTCAAACTTTGGAATCTCCTTCATAAGTGTAAGGAATAACTATTTTTAATTAATTTAACTGTGTATGAGACGATTAGGATAGTTATAAAAGACATTGCTATTTAATTTTAAAACTTTTTCTTAAAATATTTCACCAAAATCAAATTCAAATTTACAGAATAGCACAGAATGGCGTTTGGCTACCTTTGGTAGGAGTGCAAGTAGGTTGAACACGTGTCAATCTTTCTAAGCCTATGGAGGATCGAATAAAATGCAGAAAAGATGAAACTTTGGTATAAATTGATGGCTCAGTACTTTCATTGCAAGACTCAGGTGTAGTGCTCAATATGCCGATAACAGTATTTCCATCGACGACCAAAGGACCTCCACTATCCCCCTAAATCGTAAAACAGTTTTTGAGATTCCCTTATTTTTTTCAACAAACAGTAAAATTAGGTAAGATTAATTACTCGACAAGCTCCTCCTTGATTTGACAAAATTTGATCAGCTCTGCCACACAGAATCGTGTCATCGTTTTTATTGACATCATTGAACAAGAGTGCAATTGCGTCCCTGCACGATGATGGTTGCAGGATTCTTACATCGATTTTTTTTAGATTATCAACGTTCACCAATGTTTTTCTTGTCATAACATTGCGTTCTCGATCGAAATCTACGGGAGACTCGTCCCATCCAAAGCCAGCAAAAACCGCTTTCCTACCAATGTATGATACGTTTGGACCTTCCGGTAATTTCAGCTGGACGAAATTCGGATTACCTCCAATATTTAAAGATGATGCGAGCTGTAGCACACGAAAGTAATCGTTTTAAAATACTTATAATAAACATTATCCTCGATTTATGCATCACCTTAAGTATAGCTAGATCATTTTTTGGCTCTTGATCGCCCAGAGCATCAGGCTCGAAAAAGAATTCCTTCGGAACAATTATTTGAGTAACTTTCGCAAACATCGCAGAGGGCAACGTATTCTTGATATTATTGGTACCCGCGACGATGTTCCAGACGCCTTTTCTAGGCTGGCCGGGTTTGTACATGACGCAGTGAGCTGCTGTAAGTACATAGTATTCTCCTATAATTCCACCACCGCAGTAATGGACTCCTCGATTTTGAACCGAGACCTGATACTCGAACTCTTTTTCAAAAGTTTTATCGTCGACGATTTGGCCACTAACTATCTTTCCCTTTTCTAAATTATTCAAGAGAGCATTTAAAAGAGACGATTGTTTATTTAATTTCACTGGGATTTAAGTTTTAATTCACTTACTAGAACGAGATGCAGAGATAAAGCAAAAAATAAATGTCAAATACAAACAACTTCGAGCTTTCATGATTTTTCAGAAAAAAAAAAATTTTATTCCAGCTACTGACAAATTGTGTATGGATATTTTACTAGCAATAGACAGTTGAGTGTTTTTATTGCTCGAGTTATTAGCTGACGTGACGTGACGTAAAAACAATTATAAACATTACGGGCTAAACGAACGTGAATGATTTTTACATTTCCGATTCAGCTTATGACCAGGTGAACGCGTTAATCATCCATCGAATTCACAGAACGTAGCGACCAATTTTCGTACGCATCATCAAAGTAAGATGAAAATCTGCGCCGTAATAACACACAAATGTGGAAGAAGCGATCGATCAATTTCCTCGCGCGCTAAGCATTAATCCGAGTAAAACTGTCAACGGCACACATAGATAATTAATTCCGGTCAATTATAGGTCAGTATAAGAAACTTTCGGAGCTCTACCGTCAGCTCGTTGGTCGACCAAATTGAAATTAAGCGCATTGCGCGGCAGCAGCTGCAGCGCACGATTATATGTAAAGGCAAGATTTTGAATCGCGGTACGAAACTATTAAGCATATACGATCATCAGTGCGCGTCAAGCCGAGTCGAGTATTAAAGCCATGTTGGCTATATGGCTGGCTGGCGTGTGCGTGAGCGCGCGTAACACGCATATAAGCTGCCAGCAACAAGTGCTGACTCACACGTGAAATAATTCAAATTTATAACGCTTCTCGATGAAAATTCGCGTAACTCAAGAGCTCCGAGTTATGAAAAGGGTAGGATATATATCAATCAATCTTGGATGTATACACGATTCGCGCGATTCAAGCTCTGCACACTGCCTGCGGAGTGTACACAGGTAGCTGAATGGGACCCACATACGTACGGACTCGTTAACGTCAATCTCGCGCTCGCGGTTATCAAATTGCCATTTAGCCTGGCTGATTTAATCGATGCATACGTACGTACGTATGCGAGTTGTGCTACCTGCAGCTGAATCGTGAATGCCGCTAATCAAGCTAAGTTCGTGCACGTTCCCTCGCTGCGCGTGTAATGATGTAAGCTCGACGACTCGAGGTTCGCACGCTGCGCACTGCTGTGTACGTGGCGTAAATCTGCCCTGACTTTACAGTGCAGAGAGTGAAAAAATTTCCACATATGCGCTCGTGCAGGCCCCGAATGGATGCGCGTAAAAGTCGTGTGTATATAATTCGGTGCGCAGGACAAAAAAGGAGGGTGCGGACGAGGGCGGATACGCAGGCACCAACGTGCCTCGGGTAAGTATATAACCTCGGCGTAAAAGGCAGCCTCCCTACAGGTGTAAATGAAGTCGAGAGCGCGTAGATTCATATTATTCTTATTATGGTATACGCGTTAGACCACCCCGAGCAGCTTTCGGAAAGGCGAGCGAGCGCCATGCGCGTAGCTCGAGAAATCTTCTCGCTTTGAAAAATTCAATGGATTTCCGATGTATACACGCGTCGCGCGCACATTTTCCTCGACTCAACCTGATTGAATGTAATGCCTTTACTCCGCTATTTACATTGTCCTTTTTTTTCTCTCTCTCTCTCTCCTTTCTCATTTAAATTTTCAACTTTTTTAACGTGATTGACTCTTTCGAAACTTAACGACTCGAGAGATTACTGCATCATTGTACACATTGGCCTCTAGCTATATAACGTAGGAATAATCAGGCAGGTCGCTGATGGGCATTACGAGCAACTCGGCATGCGAGCAGCGCGCGCTCGCTCGCGTGGCCCTCTTGATTAATGAACCTCGAAAATTTGTCCCGATAATGGCGTAAACGAACGAAAATCACGGTATACCAACCGGACGGATCTCTCTAATGAAGCACTCGGGTGAATGATTCGTCAGATATCATTCAAACGATCGTTGAGGTAACACTTTCGAGGAGTATATAAAAAAAAACAACTGCGCTGCCACCGGCCGTGCAGCTGGGATTAAAGTCCACGCATCGGCGAGCGCGTGTTTACGTTTCGGCTTCTCAAATTGTTTTTTCAAATTTAATTATCCTCGAAATGTAGGGCCACCGACTGCTGGAGCTAGACTTCATATTTTTTTGTTACTGCAGCGAAACGAAAATAGTCATCGCAGCCAGGCCAGGCCTGCTTTCTTTGCATACGCGAGGATTCTCAAAAAAACGTCTCACTCGCTCGGATATCTATATTATCCTCGTGAGAAGATTGGTCGGGGCCTCGCGTCCTTGGGGTTGGAGCTTCGCTCGCGCGAATCGGCACACGTTCGGCGCGAAGTCAAACTAATCACTGGCTTTTTGCGGGCGCGCGCGCGCCTGCGCCAAGATGAGGCGCATTTCTATAACGCTTAAATACCCCATTCAGCTCTGGCCCTGCGCGCGCGCAAAAAAACGCGGCGGCCCAATCGATTCCGAGAAGAACAAAAGTTTCGCCCCCTTACGACGTGTGCGTTCTTACATATAGTTAAAGAATAAAAGTGAAAAAAGAAAGAAACCCAAGGAAAAGAAAAACAGAAAAGAGGCGCGCAGAGAGCGAGCTCTATGGGCAAAAAAAGGTTCGCGAAAGTGTTGTTGCGCGCATTACGCTCGATTGAACGTTTCGATGAAACGCGCCTAGTGTTCCCGCGGAGATTTGTTTAATATAATTTAGAGGCTCAGCAGGTTAGTGGTGTAGGTCCTGCGCTGGTCCTCGCAGCCAATACCTTCTCTTCCTTCTTCGGCGCGCGCAAACACACACACACACACACACACACACACACACACACACACACACACACGGGGGATTAGCTCATCATCGGGCCAAGTTCTCGTCAACGAGGATTAGTGTAATTTTTGAGGAGCTACGCTCTTTTACGGATCTGTGTCAACACTCGTTTATTACCGAGAGCGAATTCATGAAAAAAAAGAGGCAGCAGCACAGCGATCTACGTGTGCGCCGTATAGTTCCACACAGAGAGAGAAAGAGCAACAATTCATTTTCTGCCCGATTCTATTCTTTTCACGCGGTTCTGTTGAAATCGGATATAGGTGTATGGTTGTGTATATTTAAAGGCGATCGCCCCCGACGAGAGCTTTGACAATGATGAGAATCATTCGCCAAATTGTGTATATTATATTATGGGGATAAAGGCCGATACTGCTCGCGGTGTGAGTTCCGACTTGAACGTTAACGCACGCACGCATACCGATGTACTCGAGCTAACGTCCTTTTCAACGTCTGTATACCAAATGCGCACCCCCAAGTACGAAACTACGGAACCAGAATAACATACGCCCCGAGTGTGCTTGATTTCCAACACATCCGAAAATATGCTGCCGTATAGTGTACTGTGGTGGTGCGCGCGTTGCATCTCGGAAGAAGAAAAGGGAGAAAAAAAAGAAGAAGAAGAAGACGCAAAAGAACAAACGCAGCAGCCTCGTAAGTACGGTGTAATATGCAGCTACGTTACATAGGTAGTCGGCATGTTTACAGGCTCTCGTCGACATTGTCCGGCCTCATTGTCCCTTTTTTTTACGCGCGCACCTACACAATGCACGACGCAGGCCTCTCACTTTCCGCGCGCAGCAACATACATATACAGCCAGTACGTACACGGCACGTCCCTGTGAACTTTGCGGAGGAGGAAGAGAAGAAAAGTAAGAGAAATACCCAAATTCCATACGCTACAAATCAAGTCATTCATATTAAATGACACTACTGAGCGAGTCGACGACGAGTCTATTAAAATTGATACTCTTTTGCAGAGCATCCGTTTTTTCTTCGTTCTTTCTCTTTTTTTTTCGCTGCGGCTGCGCTAAGTTTTTTTTTTTTTTTTTTTTTTTTTAAAGAAACATAAACGCGGCGTGCGCCATCGCTTCTTTTTATCCTCGATCGAACACCTACGTTGGGGGTGTGAAGCCGAGTTGCCGACGCCGCCGTGTGCGAGTCAGGGCCTGCTTCGTACCTGCGCGCGAATATATAAAACCGAGGCGAGCGCCGGAACGACATCAAAGCTTTCGAGAACTACTGAGAGGATAATTATTGTTTCTCGATTATCGGCTGCATTTAGAAGCCGCAGAGGTGAGTCAAAAATATACGTGAAGTTCCGAGCGTCGATTCGCACATGGCGCTCCGCGCGAGAGGGCCACTTCTTCAACTTTTTGTCAGCTTTCTTACAAATATATTAAAAGTCGATGCTTCAATTTAAGAGGCTATTCAGCTGCCAATTAAGCTGAACAATTATTTCACGGGCCTCAATTTTCACGGCTCCGTGGGCTTTTTTGCGACCCGCAGGCAGCTTTTTGCTATTTGGAAATTAACACTTGCCCCCGAACGCGCGGCAAAACTTACGAGCGCGTATACATATACCGAGGCAAAAAAAATGGTTTATTAACGCAGCGAAAAATACCACACACGCGTGCGATCCTGCCTGCGCACGCCGGCGATATAATTTCTGCGAATAAGACATCGGACTTGCTCGATGATCTATGTAAGGCTCGAATACATTTTAATGCGCGCGAGCGCGGCAAATTGGTCGACAAAAACCGATGCTGCTGCGTTCCTCTGCACAAGCGAACTCGCCGCACTCGGACTTGTTTTTCAAAGCCTAGACTCTCGTAGATGACTACCACTTCTTTTTGGCATTTATTCGACATTTTTTCGCATGACACATCGAATAATCCTGGAGAAAATGAACTCTCGTGATTCACCAAAGGGTGTATCATGCACAAAAGTTAGCATGTTTTATTTAAAATTAGAAGAAAAAAAATGCTAGCTCGAATCATGTCCAAATTTTGACGATGAGGAATCGAGTGCAGGCGGTAAGTAATCCATCGACGATACTTTTTCGGAGCAGCTTACACCCAAACGAAATTAAAACGTAGTTCCTGGTCGCAAAAATGTGAGTCCTACGGTAAGGCATTCCAATTTTACATTAAACCTACTTCTAGCCTCGAACTCCGGACATGTTAAAAAGGCTTGCGTGCAGAATGACGATAACCAAAAAGAGTCTTTATTTGTGGAAGAATACAAGCATGTTTTCGTTTATATTCAAATATCACTTAATTTGTTCAATATTACCTTGTATGGACACGTAAAAATTGGTAATATCAAACAATTATTATGTATAAATCGCGGTGAAAACTACTTTAAAACATAACATTGGAAAATATTTACAATCAAGAATTGACAATTTTATTAATTACTTAACAGAACTTGAGCTTTTTAATATTACTGGTTGACCCGTCATTATAAAAGTCGTAATATTATTGTAAATTCGATTTACTCAAACTTATGTAGGAAGAAATGCAATAAATTTGAAATGTAGTTTTTTTATGTTTATAAAGAAAGACAAGAAATTTTATGAAGATATCATTACAGTTTATTGTGAAATAAATCTTGAATTATTGTAACGCGTAAGCTGGTTTGAATAATAACATAGCTAACCATTTGCTTTCAGATACATTAAATCTGAATTGGGAGTCAGTTTGATCCCATCAGGTCTGAGTTGAGGTCATTTGATGGAAAATTCGTGAAAAAATCCACTATTTGTAACCCAAGAATATGTAGAAAAGGCATATTCATAGCCGTGGCGTGAAGTATTATTGCACACGATCTCCACCATTACAGGTAATAAACAAAGTACGTCCCCTCCAAAGACTGTTATATGTAGTTTTCCTACAGATTCAGTGGTGGATTTCCGTGTAGTTTTAACAAAATACGAGTGTCTCTTTATTAACTAACACAGTAACTGACCGTTTAGGAAAATATGTTTACAAAAATTAAAAATTCATTCGAATGGGCCTTATTCCATTGCTTACCAAAAGGTGTATCTTAATTTACATATCCTATTTATACATAATAAGCAAAAAATCCAGATGAGATAATTTACTAATTTAAAATGGTCAATCGCTTGTAGTACAATGCGTACGGCAGTCGACGATGGTGGGGGAAAGTATCGTCAAGAAGTTATCACAATAGGCACAGTGAATAGCCGCTACAGTTGGTAACAAAGAGCCTAGAGATAGTATTCCTACTATACCGTAAGCAAGTGTTTACGAATTGGAGATTGCAGTGTTAGGCTTATATAACCTCGAATATTTTCTTAGTGTATACCGTAAAAATTCACAGTGATTGCTTATAATCAATCGAGTGATGGAAAGCTTCAGAGATTTAATTAGGTATACGATTTTTTGTACATGATATGATAAGTTTTTAAACGATCGCTTGTTGTAACTAGATTATTTTTCAGAGTGAAAAAAGAACCAAATGAAATTTTGCCAGATGTAGACGACGATTATAATTTCAATTCGATGGATTCTTACCAAGTCAAAAACTTTGAAGCACCTCCAGTCTTCAAAACATCAGTGAGCTTAATAATTTGAATTATGTTTTAATTTTACACTATTATAACCCAATTTCAATTTTAGGAAAATCAAATGAACGAAAATATTGCTTTACAAAAAAAGTTGGATGCAAAAATATCTATAGAATTTGAGTGCAAAGATGTTAAAGTTGAACCGACGCCTCAATCGACAGCTATCTGCAAATCTGAGCTTCAAAATTTTCAACCTATTATAGTTAAAATGGAAAACGAAAATCAGATCAATGACGTGAATGAAAATATATTCATTGATTTGGAATGCAAAAATGTGAAATTTGAACAAAAAACCATCCACAAAACTGAATATCAGTGTAATCTACCTATTGTGAAAGTAGAAAATCAATTTCAGATGAATCTGGATCGAAAAACTTATCTGGGTGAGGCTAATCTAGAAACACATATCAATCCAACAAGTAAAAGAATTAGAACTCATGAATGTGAAATTTGCCATAAATCATTTGATTATCCAAGCTACCTCAAACGGCATGTTAATGCAGTACATAATCGAAACAAACCCTTTGAGTGTTACATTTGTCACAAATCATTTGGACTAAAACAGAATCTCCAATCTCACATTAATATAGTACATAATCGGATAAAACCCTTCAATTGTGAGATTTGCCACAAAGCATTTGGATACCAGCAAGTACTCGATAATCACATTAGTACAGTACATGATCGGAGCAAACCCTTCGAATGTGATATCTGTCACAAATCATTTGGGCGAAAAAGTTACCTCAATCTTCACATCAATACAGTACATAATAGTAGCAAACCATTTGAATGTGATATTTGCCACAAATCATTTGGACAAAACACTAACCTTAAAATTCACAAGAATGCAGTACATAATCGGAGCAAACCCTTCCAATGTGAGATTTGTCACAATACATATGGCCGCAAAGATATCCTCAATTCCCACATAAAAACAGTTCATAATCGAATGAAACCCTTCGAATGTGATATTTGTCACAAATCATTTGGACAAAAAACTAACCTCAAAATTCACATCAATACAGTACATAATAGTAGAAAACCTTTCGAATGTGATATTTGTCACAAATCATTTGGGCGAAAAAGTTACCTCAATCTTCACATCAATAAGGTACATAATAATAGCAAACCATTTGAATGTGATATTTGCCACAAATCATTTGGATATAAAAGTAACCTGAAAAAACACATCAATACAGTACATAATCGTAGCAAGCCTATCTAGTGTGAGATTCGTCACAAATCATTTGGATATAATCATTTTCTCATAAGCCATATGAATGAAGTGCACTATATGTAAAACGATTCATTTCCTATCAAAAAACATCAACAGAACGAATTATGGGCGCTGTGTACGCTAGTCTGTATACTATTATTATTGACGCATATAATATGTTTTACACGCAGCTGTCTCTCACTACGTTGTATTCACTTATGTTGAGAATAATAAATCTTTTTACATCTAGTGTATATGATCTTGTTGCAAGGTTTTCAAGTGTGAAATTTGCTGCAGATCTTTTACAATAAAAAGTTATCTCAAGGTTCACATAATGACGGTACATAAGCGGAACAAACGCTGAGAGCATGAAATTTGGTCCTAAAACGTTTGAACACAATGAAGATATTTAATTTCACATAAGTATGCAATGTAATTTTTAAAAATCTTTTCCATAAATTACCTTGAATTTTGTGAAGAAAAATAAAGTATTTCAAAATTTTATTTATTTTTTGTTAAACCTTCTACTCTACCTTTAAGCTCACTCGTTTTTCACAAATTTATTTCTCTATCTAACGCCAGTAAAAACGTTTCACTTTAATTTATTTCCAAAGAGTTTTTATCAGTAGCATTACAATTATTTGTTCAAAATATAAAGAATTTGATGCAGAAAGGTCTCTCGCTCAAGAATGATTTTGTCCATTGGCCACAAACGAGTGCAATTCAAGAATTCCCTTGAACTCATCAATTTTCACCGTCGCAATGATTTGTTGAAGCGAACATCTAGAAACCGTGTATGCGCAAAGAAGCTGCGATCGTATAACCGAGCAAGAGAAGAAGAAAAATTAATGTTTTCAATTCACAGTAGAGCCTTCTCCCCCCGCATAATGAGGCTCGAATAGGATCGTCACGAAACGAGCCATCAATTAGGACTTTATACGCGAGCTCGTCGTGTGTTACTAATATTAATCGATATCATTTGGTCGGATGCGCGGTATATCATGCGCGCTTATACGATATAATTTTACGCCCGTGGAAGTCTCGCTCGAGAAAGAGCTCGCGCGAATCGACTCGTGCCACCTGTTCGTTCAGGAATCTCTCATCAATTTAAAAGTCTTCTGCACTCCAAGAGTTACAGGTATACGTATATACCCGCTTCTACACATATACATGCATAATATATATTATACGCGCGTTGGGTTAATGCGAATTTAATACCGAACGAGAAAATTCAAACTCGCGCGAGTCTCGAGACTCTCGCGCACGGCGTGGAATGCTTAAAGCTCCTGCGCGCATACAAACGTACTGCGCCTTGAATTTTTCTACAACCTTTTCCCTCAATTTTTTTCTCCAACTTATCGTTGTCCGATATGTCTTTTGTGTACTGTACACATACCCACACGTAAGTACAGTGGGATAAATTCCTGGAGACTTTGCCTAATTGATTGTTGGCGTTATATTGTAAAGAGAGACGCTCGCTGCGGCTCTTAATAGCCTCATGCCATCCATTGAACTTGTCGCTCATTGATTTTAATATATATAATAAACTCGATTCTATAGATTTGGCTCGTATAACGGCAATCCTTTCACGAGCTGACACGAGGATCATTGTGCGTGTGACTTTTGAAAAGTTATTAATCAAGGCGAGATAAAAAAAAGAAGGAGAAAGAAAAAATCACTCCTACGGCACAATGAGGCCTATTTGTAAGTGTTGAATTATGATATGGTTTTTGAAAACAGATCCACTTCTGATTTTTAGTTCAACAAACCTAACAATGGACATAGAGAAGCAATTATGTACTGTAAAGAAAATACCAGCGACGATTAGACACTCCTTCCGTATGAAAAAAAGGCTGGCGCCAAAAGGCCGTATTATATACACTCGACAGGTACGTAATTGTTTGGTAAAGCATACATTATGCATAATTACCAAAAATGCTTGGCACATAAACATACGTATGGCAAAGAGACCATTTATTTACAAGTCAATTTGCTCGTCTCGGAAAAAAAGGACGATAACGATTAGATACATTAACAAATGGAGCTGGTTACAAGGTGTCAGCCACGGCTACGTAGATCACGATGTCACCGCAAGGACGTCGTGCCTGCCTGCCTGCCTGCCCGCGCGTATAAGCGTAAAATACACGAAGGCCTTTGGGCTTCGGAGCTCTCGTAATTGCCTTCGATTAATTAGACATCGCGTATACACATACGCACACGCGCATAAGTTTTTCGCCGCCGAGCGCGACGTGTATCGCATATAATGCTCGGGCGTAATTACCAAAGGGCAATCGAGCCTCGAGTCGCGAGCCGAGGCATTTATATACATTATACATGTATACGTACCTCGGTGCCTATCGGTCGAAACGGCATCTCTTTATCGATCACGATCATCTACTTTTCTCTCTCTCTCTCGCATTTTTCATTATTGCTTTATTTTTCTTAGAGCCGTGCGTGAGGTATATTCAGACCTTCGTACATGCATCATATACGTTTAGATACACTGTATTATACATCGAGACTGGCGCGAGCTGTGTGCATCTCGTCAATTACGTCTTCATCGTGCATATACGTACCGAAGCTCGCGATCGCAGGAGAAAATATACAGCTCGTTGTGATTCAGCTTGCAGCGCGAGACGTCCGTCCTGCGCGAACTTTGCTTTTAATCGAACTCGCTGATACGTGTGCTCGCCACGCGTTGACTCGTTCTTGGAACTTTTCTGCCCGCGTCCAATATAATCCTGCTTGCGCGCGCGACGCGCAGAGTCATAAAAAATAATTCAGTACCACGCGCGTCGATTAAAAGCTCTGGGTGCGCGACGCGACGCTTAATGCGCGTGCATTACTCATCATCGGTCGCGCGCGAGCTCGAGTTTGTTTACACCGATTCCGAGAAATTAAACGTTATATACACGGGGTATAATGTGTGCGTGTGTGTCTCTCTCTCGAGAGAGGCACATTTAGCACCTCTGTGGACTGTGTGTACGTCCGCCCGCCCGTGCGAGGCGACGTTCGCGATTGCACAACATCGGAGTCGAGACCAGCCTATATAACGCTGTATATATAATAATATGACTGATGGACGAAAAATGGGCCCCGCGCTAAATAGCCCAAATAAGCATGAGAAGAAACTAAATCTCACTTCGTCATTAATAATGCAGTCAAAAAGTTAACAGCGCACAATGGGCTGCTGCGCGCTTTTGCGCGTCCGTCCGTGTTGCTCGAGCGCTCGATTATAATATGAATCAAAACAGACGTTGTAAAAAAGAAAAGAGACGAAAAAAAGAACTTGGCTCTTTCGCGCGCGCGCGAGAAGCCATACCTTTCATCGTTTTTTATACATTATTATGTATACGCGTCCGAGTAGCTGCGATACAAACGCACACACACGCACACGCACGAGCGGCCACAATGTATAACATAATGGCCAAAGGAATCAATCAAAATATCAGCTAGCTTCCGTAACTCTCTCGGCTTCGAGTCGACGCTCGTATATATATAGTAGTAGTAGTAGTAAAGTCCGCGCGGCGGACAAAAAGCGAATATCATCTCTCACCTCATAAACGTACCGTATAGAGATTATAAAAGCCATAACGCGCGGGTCGACTATTTCCGGCGAGTTGATCGTGTTGCGCGATTATAAACACACATATTATACACCTGAGACCCTGCCTGGTGGTACGTCAGTCCCGTGTCAATGTGTGTATATGTGCCTGCGTGCGTATATTACGTTCACGTGTGTCGCGTTCCCACGAGCGGCGGCGGCAGCGGCGAGTTGTGAAATTTTTCGCTGATATCATTGCCGATCTTTTTTCGCGCGCCAGCGGCAAGTGCGAAAACGATCGCGTTTATGCGCCATATAACTCGAATGAGTAACGAGATCGAAATTTTCTGTCGCGCGCGCGCACGATACGTGTGTGGCAAAATTGCAAGCGATGGAGCTTTTTCGACCTCGACTCGTCTCGATTATATGTATATCATGCAGACTGCCCTGCGTGCGTGGAGGAGAGCAAACGACGAAATAAACGAGCGATAGTGGGATCGCGAGGCTGCACGCTATTAGGCGATAAAAATTTGCAAATTAAATACGAATTATTACCGGCAGTGATTCCATAAGGGCTAAAGATGGAGCGAATCGCGAAGAAGCGAGAGAGAGAGAGAACGAGAGAGGGAGGTAGAGAGTGATCTGGACAATCCAGCTGTGCTCGCGAGCTCGAGCCGCAGAGCGAGGAGAAGAACCGGATCGGTTAATTAGCAGAACTTCGATCGACGCCGCACACATACAAGCGCGCACAAAAGTGTAGTCGAGCTCCAAAGAGCATCACTGAAAAGCCTCTTAGATATTGCACGCGTGTGATCATCTTTACGACCTATGTGTTCTGCTGCTGCTGCTGATGCTATTCGTCGAGTGCTGCTGCTGCTGCTGATGTACCTCTCCTCGCGAAGCGTCGAGTGTGTAACACTTTAGAAAAAATCCCTCGGTATCTCGGTCTATACATATACGCAGGCGAGCGCACAGACTCGTGCTGCTGCTGCCGCGGGATGGATTTTATTGCCCCTACCGAGAAATACGCTCTTGACACATGGTAATTGAGTTTTTAGGAGCGCCGCTGCTGCCATTGCTGCTGTGCGGTCGCCTGTAAGCTTTTGCACACACACACACACGACCACGGGCGCACGCTCGCAGCTGAGATGACGAAATTATACTCGAGCGAGGATCGCGCGATCGTACGCGGCTTCGTTATTAATTAGCAAAAGCAGCTCGATATACCTACGATACGTACGCGTCTCGAGCTTTTCTGCAATCATTATGAGCTCGAGCTAATAAGCTCCAGCTTCTCTCCGACTCTTCAGCTGCGCGGAGAGAGAGAGAAAATTTCGGTGAAAATGACGTTATTTCTTTAGCGCGTATACATCGTTATGATCGAGGACTACCCGTATGCACAAAGTTCGCGTGGCAATTCGTTATACACATGCATACAACCATGGCTCGGTGAAATTCCCTGCCCTCATCGCTCATTACCCCCGTCGCTCGATCGCATTTATACATTATGTATACCTTCTGTGTACACGTGTAAAGAATCTTACGCCAAAACTCCACTTCACTCCGCGCTATACGGTGCGTGCGTATATACGTTTCTGCGCTCCGATCGCGAGTTACAATTGATGATGGTGCAAGGACGTGCCCTGCCGAGCGCTAATGAATCGATCGTGGGTGGCATTACCGATCGCTCGAGCTTAAGAGAGAGAGAGAGTCCACAGCCCAGAGAGAAAGAGATACGGATTGCAGGGTCGCAATAAAAAAAAAGAGGGAGAAAAATAAAGACAACGTATATATACGTACGTGCAGGCTAATCCGTTAACGGGGATTAACGGGATCGATATC